ATCATTTATATAATAAAAATATATAGATTTTTTTGTAGATATGTTATAATTTAAATTTTTAAAAATGAATATAAATTACTCAAATGATGAATAAATATTGGTATGTTTTAAAATTTACATACTGGAAATGAGAGGATGTACATGATTCAAAAATCATTACAAAAATACATAAAAGATATTAAAAATTTAGTAAAGCACAAAACTTTATTTAACAGTCATATCATTTATAAAAGAAAAATTGCATAATATATATTTTTAATAGAACCATCCCTTATATATTAATTGAGAAACATGTTTAGAGAGTATTCTTAATTTTGTAAGTTATTTCCAATGGTGTCATTAACACAAGAATCATTCTCAGAAAATATATAAAAATGAACTTATGTTACTAAATTAATTATATGTTCTGCCCACTCACATTAATTTAGTTGTACAATAGTTTTTTTTATCAATTATTTATATATAAATCAGCATTTAATTTATTAAGATATTCTTTTTTTTACCAAAACTATATCATATTAATTATTTTAAATAAAGTATTATCTTATCAAAATTTGCTAATTTTTACACTGGTCCGACTTGGGACTGACAAAATTTATTAATTTATAGTGATGAGGTTCTACTGTAGTTTGCTTTAAAAAAAGGGGGAATTCCTCTTTATAACCTAAAAGTTGATTTTTTCTCAATATGTAGACTCCTTATTGAATGTTTGGCAAAACTAACCCAAATGCGTAGTGAAATTACAGCTCAGTCATTTGTGACTAAATAAAAAACGTCTGCCACAGTTACGATTTTATCCTTCGAGAAGTCTATGTAAGAAGTCTACAATCGTTGTAGACTTCAAAAGAAGTCTACTACATAATTAGTTTTTTTTAAAATTAATTAGAAAATATAAAATAAATAAATTTCTAAAAAATTGGTAAACATAAGTAAGACATATATATTTGACATGTATAGAATACAAAATTTCATACAAATAAATCAACTTAAATGCAGAAAGAAAATTAACTAGAAAACATACAACCCCTTAGAAGTCTACTAAAGAAGTCTACTACAGAAAACATACGTATGCAGTAGACTTCTCGGGTAGACTTAAAAAAAACATAGCGGGAAATCAAAAACATACCCACTGTTTTTGTTGGAAGCAGATTTCAGCTGCAGATTTCTCGAGTAGACTTCTCGAGCAGACTTCTCGAGCAGACTTCAGTCACATACATCTATTTCAGATATTTTGTTTTTATATGCTAATTTTAAGATTTATAATTAGTGATCTTTAAATGTTTATTTGATTAGAAAGTCTACTTTATATGTAAAGTTGGATTGCAATTAATGTTATTTTTATATATTCTTAAATTATATGTGTTTTATCATATTCAGATTTCATATGCAGACTTCTTTGTCAGACTTAGTCATCACCATCTTTGAACCTCTAATAACACAAGAAAATTAATTCAGTTTAACTATACAAAAATATGTAAAACTCATAACAAAAAAAAATATGTAAAACTACTTAGAAATACTACAACTAGTCTTTCTTCACACATTCTCAATAAACAGTGGGTATGTGAACCATTCTCTGTAAGAAAACAAAATTCAAACCACATTAGAAATCATTATCAAAAAAGTAGACTGCAAACGTAGTCTACTATGTAGACTTCAAATAAAGTCTGCGGACTATTAAGCTAAATACCAAATAAAAGAAGAAAATTAGTTAAAGCTAAACTGTAACCAAAAAAAATTTCAAACTCATACATAAGCAAGAACAATAAATATCACACACTTAAGAGTCAAATAATAAATTTTATTTGTTACAAATATCTGATCAATTAAATTTATAAAAAATTAATATCGCAGACTGCAAACGAAGTCTACTATGTAGACTTCAAGTGAAGTCTACGGACTAATAAGCTAAATACCAATTAGAACAAGAAAATTAATTAAAGCTAAACTATAACAAATAAACATGTCAAACTCCTACATAAGTAAGAACAATAAATAATACACACTTAAGAGTCAAAGAATAAATTTTATTTGTTACAAATATCTGATCAATTAATTTAATAAAAAAAATTAATATCGCAGACTGCAAACGAAGTCTACGGACTAATAAGTTAAATATCAAATAAAACAAGAAACTTGATTTCACCAAATATATATATATATAATATAAACATGTAAAACTGATACAAATGTAAGTACACTTACTAAAACAATCGTAAGACCAAAAAAATCTTAATAATTCGTTGTAAATTTGATAAAAACGCGTTTATAAAAAAAAGTGAAATAGTAGACTAACAACGAAGTTTACAAAAGTAGACTTGCAATGAAGTCTATATTTTAGGTTACTTTTGCAATTGCCAAAAGATCAGTAAAATTCTTCAAAGAAGTCTACTCACTCCGAGAAGTCTACTCGAGAAGTCTACGTAAAAAAAAGGTTAGTTTTGCAATTGACCAAACTTTGACTTTTTCGTAAGAAGTCTACTTGCAAAAGTAGACTTCTTCGGAGAAGTCTACTTTTAAAGTAGACTTCTTAGAGGTTAGTTTTGCAATTGACCAATGTTGACTTTTCAAAGTAGACTTTGTTTGAAGTCTACTTCATTGGGTTAGTTTTGGGGTTGACCAAACATTGAATTTATTTTCGAGTAGACTTTTTTTGAAGTCTCCTCAGAAAGTAGACTTCAAACGAAGTCTACTCGGAAAAGTAGACTTCAAGCGAAGTCTACTCGAAAAAGTCAACATTGGTCAATTGCAAAACTAACCTCTAAGAAGTCTAAGTTCAAAGTAGACTTCTCCGAATAAGTCTACTTTTGCGAGTAGACTTCTTACGAAAAAGTCAAAGGTTGGTCAATTGCAAAACTAGCCCCTTTTTACGTAGACTTCTTTTGAAGTTTACACTATTTTTTTTGTTGTCAAAGGAAATGGCGCAGACTTCAACTGAAGTCTACTGCCAGAAATTGGTACACCCGGTCAATTGCAAAACTAACCTGTGTGTTGACCAGCAGACTTCTTTTGAAGTCTACTATCGGTAGTACACTTCTTAAGAAGTCTACTTTCGCGGCACAGATCTGAAAACTCATAAAAATTGACTGAAAAATCACCTACCAGTGGTATTTAACTTATTCAACCACCGATTTCTTTGATTCCAGCCACCACCAAACAAGCCCAAACGATTTGCCAGACCAAATCACCAAATATGGCAATATATTAAAACATCAAGTTTCAAAAATTTAGATTAGAGAGTTTTTGTGCTGAAAATTGTGAAAAAATGGAAGAGTAGAAGGTTAAGAGAAGAGGAAATGAGGTTACAAAGCTAAAAAATGGGTCTTTGAAGCAATAAAAGCTTCAAATTGGTTGAAAATGGTGGTTGAATGAATTGATGGTGATGACATTTTCGTGAATAAGTGAGGAAGATGAGGATTGTTTAGTAAAATAGATTTCTGAAATAATAATAAAAAACAATAATCTAATGGCATTTTCGTAAATAAATAGAACTGATAAGGATATAAGTGAGATAAAGTGGTTAATTTCAAAAGTGGTAAAATGGGAGGTTAGTTTAGCAATTGACTTGAATTTATGGGTTATTTTTGCAAGATTCCCTTAAAAAAAAAGAAATTGATATTTTTATGACTGGTCTTTACAAGTTAACCTAACTATACAATTATATCGTATAAAACAATATTAAACTCTATTATAATATCATACAATCAATATTTTTAAAGGAGCTAATTATAATAATTTTTATATGTCACATTATTTTCTATATAATGAATAGTAGCAATAACGTATCAAAATTCTAAACATATTTATAACATCTTAAATTTAATATTTTATTTTATTATGTATACACTATACTTTCAACCTACAATTTATCATATATTCAATTATTCACATGCAAAATGAAATCAAATTTGTTGTGTATGAAAACTTTGACAAGATGAGTACTAGTAGTTTACTGACCTTGGTATTGTGATATGTGTTTGAAAGTTATGGAGAATTGAATGAGAACCTTATGATTTCTAAGTTTCACATAACAAATATAATTTATATTTTTGTCATATATTTTTCTTTCTATCATATAATACATGTTATATTTTACTAGATGGGCTTACACAAATTCTAATTTCTAAATGCTCTCGAATTCTATTTGATTCTCAAATTCTGGAAATACAATTATTCAGATAGATATACAAAGCAATGTCCTATAATTATTTACATGTACCAGAATCATTACTAATATATATTGTATTTTATAAATAGACAGACTTCTGAACAATGACCATTGATAACATATAAACAATTCTAAAAATCAATCTATGCTTTTATTTTCAGTTATTAGTAAAATACTATTATATTTTAGACAATATTTTTTTGATTAAAGTTTTTGGAATTAGCTTCTTTTCTTTTACAAACAGAGTTAGTTACATTAATTTATGGTTATAGTTATGGTTTTCCAAATTAAAAACATAAAAATTATATCTTTCTTTAATTTATTCGATTTAGTAGATAAGTAACAAATATTTTAACTAATAATATATAATTATTATTCAAAAGTCAAAAGTAATTTAATATATACATAAATATTGTATACCCAAATATTGGACATTGGTAAAAATGCTACATCATATCGTCAATCACAGAATATAAAAAATTTATATGGCGACTTCATATTTCTATCCAACTATATCATGTGATATGTATGATATTTAATTTTTAAATTAATTTACACAACAATTAAATTATCCTAGATTTCATAAAAACTTATATTGTCAATGTTATAAATATTATATAAATTTCACATAAATGTTATTATATTATATTATATAATTTTAAAAATATATTAAATTTAAATAAATAATAATTATTTTACTCTGCTACAGATTATTACCTAGTTTTATTAATATAATATGCATTTTATTCTTACATTTGGTTCCTATTATTATAGAAATAAATCAAAACTATTCAATTCTGTGAAGGCGTGAGAAGAAACGAAAATGACAGGTTTAAAAATTCCTCTCTTTTAGAGGTTTAAAAATACTCGAATTTTAGATGCTTTATCACTTGAATTCCTCTCTTTCCTTCCTCTCCTATCACTCTTAGTTTGTGCTCTCGTCTTTTTCCTCCGATCTCGTTCCTTCCTCTCCAAATCCATAAATCATCTCCTAGATCCTCTCGCTAAACGAACAAACCCAAGATCTGAAACCCTTCTCTTTTTTTTGTCTTTTCTTCCCAAATCGCGTAATTCTCAGAAGATTCGAGTTTTGTGGAGATACCCAGTAGCCAAAGCTCGGATTTTCAATCCTCTGATTTAGGGTTTTAGTGTGTAATTATTATTAGAACCATGGCGGGTTCGAGTGGGAGTTGGAGAGATGCGTATAAGGGAATGTCATCTGATAATGTAAAGGGTTTAGTATTGGCTATTTCCTCGAGCTTATTCATTGGTGCCAGTTTTATCGTCAAGAAGAAAGGTCTCAAGAGAGCTGGTGCTTCTGGTCTCAGGGCAGGTGATTTCACTTCTCTTAATTTGGGTTTTATGATGTTACCTAAAATGGGTTTATGATGTCTTTGTTTAATGGCTTTAATGGGTTCTTTTAATCCGATTCGGCTACAACATTTGTGAATCTTGTGAACATAATCACATTAGATATTGATCTCGTTGCTGATTTTGGTGATGGTGCTTTTGTAGGTTCTGGAGGTTATACTTACCTGCTTGAGCCTCTTTGGTGGGTAGGCATGATAACGAGTGAGTTCTCTTCATATTTAAAGGTTTGGTTTATCCTCTTTTGGGGTATTGATTAGCTTATGGTCACACTGTAAGATGGAGAAAAGTATTAGTAGTTATTGCCATTTCTGTAGTGTTAACTGCAGAGACAATGTTTTGCTTCTTTTTGCAGTGATTGTTGGTGAAATTGCTAATTTTGCTGCTTATGCCTTTGCCCCTGCCATTTTAGTTACTCCTCTTGGCGCCCTCAGCATTATCATCAGGTTTTTGGATAATACTAAGTCAAAAGATTTACACCATTTATGGCTCTAGCTATTGACTTGTAGGCCACTTTTAGTATCGTTGAAACCATCAGTTTTGTATTTGGAGTAATAGTAATCGAACTTTTGTTTCGGGTGTGAATTTCCAGCGCTGTTCTTGCTCATGTAATTTTACGCGAAAAGTTGCATACTTTCGGGATCCTTGGTTGTGTCTTATGTGTTGTTGGGTCGATAACCATCGTCTTACATGCTCCTCAAGAGCAAGAGATTGATTCCGTATTACAAGTATGGAATCTTGCAACAGAACCTGGTACCATCTTCTATCTTTTTGAACCTAATTTCATCGAGTTTTGATTAATCTGTTCTAAGACATGGTGATGTGTCCTCTGCAGCTTTTCTTCTATACGCTGCAGCAGTGGTAGGAGCAGCCATTATACTCATAATTCAGGTCATACCACAGTACGGACAGTCACATGTCATGGTCTATATCGGTGTTTGTTCTCTGGTTGGATCATTATCGGTAAGTGCAAAACGTACAATCTCCAAACATGTTTATTAATTTGCTTTGTTTTGAGTAAACTAATTATTTCAGCTGTGCATACAGGTCATGAGCGTTAAAGCACTTGGGATAGCATTAAAGCTTACGTTTTCAGGAATGAATCAGTTGATTTATCCTCAGACATGGGTCTTCACGCTGATAGTTCTCACCTGCGTTATAACACAAATGAACTATCTAAACAAGGTATAGAAATGTAACCTCAAGCTTCACAGTCAATATCTGTAAAACATAATCAGGAAATTTCATTCGGTTTCTATTGATGTACAGGCGCTTGACACGTTCAACACTGCCGTGGTTTCACCTATCTACTATGTTATGTTCACCTCATTGACTATCCTTGCTAGTGTCATCATGTTCAAGGTTATAATATATTACATCTCTTGGTTTTGGATTCTAATCTCTTTTTGGTAGAGATAACAACAATGGTGAAGTTTTATGTAACAGGATTGGGATCGACAAGATGGAACTCAGATTGTGACAGAGTTATGTGGGTTTGTGACAATCCTTTCAGGAACCTTTCTGCTTCACAAGACAAAAGACATGGTTGATGGTGAGTGAGCGCTTTCTTTAGATTGTTTCTGCATTTTTCAGCCATTAACGAGTGTTCAATGTCAGGTTCTTCGTCCTCGGGGAATTTGGTTATTCGTCTTCCTAAACATTTGGAAGAAGGTAATGGATTTGAGCAAGAAGGGATCCCACTCACACTCAGACGCCAAGAGTGTACCAAGTCACCAAGGCCTAACCGTCACATCGTTCATCCTCAAGATGGTCCTGAAGCTGTGTAGAGAGAGTGTGAGAGAGAAGGCAGATTCGATATATATGTATGGATACCACGAGGCTGCAGAGACGGCATGAAGGACTTGGTTCTTAGAAGAAAGGTGAAGAGAAGAGAAGAGAAGAAATTATTGCTATTACAAATTTGCATAGGGAATTTTTTTTTCACACTTTGATAACCTCATTCATTTGTTTTGGTTTTTTTTGGCTTAAGATTTGGTGCTGAAGAGATGTGAAATGTGTCTACAGATTTTATTAACTGTTATATATACGCAGAAAGTTGTACCTTTTCCAATATTGTTTTTGTTTAGTAACAGTTTTGTTTTATCAGCAGCTAAAAGAATTGTCTGAACTTTGGTTTCGGGAGATTTTAAACCCAAAAGATAACTTTTTAAAAATTGAAAAGAATAAAAAAACTCAGCAGTTTAACAGTTTCATTTAACAAAGTAATAAGTTCAAAATTTAATCTATAGACTCATAAGCAAATGAAAACCCAATCTATTTCATCATAGCAAATAAAAACTGTTAAAAAGCTTACAAAACAAAATCATACATTATCTCACAATTATAACAATAATATTTTTCATACAATATAATTATATAATTAAAATTTAAATTAAAAACAAACTTAAATACCTTGTTTAGATAGTTCATTTGTGTTTTCTCTTTTTTTTCTCTCTTTTTCTCAACTTATTTCGATTGTTTTCATTATTATATGGGAAATATATTCTCTTAAAACCTTCCAATGAGGTTGTCCTGATAAGCTTGTCTGCTTGTGTTTTATTTTTTGTTTGTTAATTTCTAAAAAATTTTATTCGTTCGGTTGAAATAACCACGGACTTCCACTATAGTAGTATAATAAAACATTGTATTTGTTGTAGCAGAAACTTTAACGATCAATATTTATAAACATGAATAATTCAAAAGATTTAGATTATCTTATAATAAAAAAATATTATGGAGATTAGCAATAAACTCCATTGTGAAGGAAAAAGCTCTCAGGTCCGGTTCTCAATGCAGAACCGTTGGTTCTCTCATGGTCGTGCTTCCACCTTGAATCCTCTGTCTCTCACCTCTGGTGATAGTCTCTACCCTCCTCCCTTTGTCCTGCCTCACCTTCCTGATCCTTCAGCTACCTTTCTTTTGTCTCAGTTTCCACCCTTAATCTCCCCGTTTAACCAAAAATCTACTTCCTTCCCAAGTACTGCTCCTCTCAAGGTGCATGTGGATAAGGCTTCTATCAAGATACATCCTACTACTGAAACTACTGATGTCCAGATTACATAGTAGGATACTGCTTCTTCGGAGGCTGTTGAATCTAGTTCTCCAAAAACTAGATATAAAAAATTATTGTTCCAGAAATTTTTATTGTATTGAAACTTAAACCTACTTCCCCTCTCCAGACGAACAAAGCTCTAAAAAAAGCTTCCTCCTCTCCGATAGCGGATCCTAAGGTCTATGTGCCTTAACCTGCTCATTAACCCTCTGCTCCACTTTCTATTGATCCAATGATTAACCAAACTGCCAATGGTCCTACCTTGGCTAAAAGAATTAGGGTGTTTGAGGACAGATTCTTAAGTCGGCTTGCTCCAATATCCTTCTCTGACACTGGTAGGCCTCGGGTTATCATTCCATATGAGGTTTTTCAGCGAGGTGAGGAATTGCAAAGAGCTTTCTTGTGTGCTATTTTAAGTGTAGGCTTCCTCCCTACAGTCAAATACATAGTGTTCTCCACCATATGTGGGGAAAAGGAAACATACTAGAGATCCACAACAGCCCTTTAAACAGAACTATGCTTGTGCGCATTCCAAGTGATTACTTGAGGAGAAAGATTCTGGAGAAGGGCCTTTGGTACATTGGAGACTCTATGTTCCATGTAGCTCAGTGGATGTCTTCCCACTCGCCTATTTCTTCTCCGCTTGAGTCGATCCAAATCTGGGCTCATCTCAATGGGGTTCTCCTGGAACTAAGGCATCAAAAATGCCTTAGCTTAGTAGTGGGATTGGTTGGTGAGCCAGTCGAAACAGATGATTTCACCAAGAATCTCATCAGTCTAACTATTTCTCATGTAAAAGTGGAAGTGAATCTTACTAAGGACCTCCCTCGGGTAGTTGAGTTTGGACGGAAAAGTGGTGAATTTGTTGAAGTCCTTGTGGATCACCCGTAGCTTCCTCCTATTTGTTCTCACTACAAAGAGTTAGGCCACATACCTCGTAATTGCTTGCAACTTCCTCTTCCTCAGAAGGCTGCTTCCACAGTTCCTAAGGGTACAAAAGTTTCTAAGCGAGCTCCCTCTTCTAGCTCCAAGGATAAACAAGCAGGAAAAATACTAGAGGAAGGTACCTCTACTTTGGTTATTGGCCCAGTTCCTGCTCAAGCTGAGGTGATCCTCACTACTAAAGACGTTCCGGTTAAATTCTATGATTCAGATAATGCTCTGTCTCCTAGCATTTGTTCGGTTGCAGCTCCTTCTCCTTCTTCTGAGGCTCATTCTTCTTTATTACCGCTGTTTGCTCCTTTTGTTCCTTCTTACATTGTAGGCCTCCCTACTTTCGTAACTCCTACGGGAGAACCTTACCACTATAGTCCTCCTCCTGTCACAAAAAAACAACCAACTTTAAAAAGATCTCGTTCTAATCCTTTACTAAACACAATTCATTAGTGCTTGCCTTTACTAGATTCCCCTTCTAAATCTTCTTTAAATATGCCTACTGCTATCCTTCCCTCTATCGTCCCATAAATTTATCTCCTTTCTACTTTATTTTTGGTTTCTCAAGATTTTCCCTCCTCAGGAAAATCTTCTGTTTCTTCCTAATGTGTACTAAACTATCTTTTTGGAATGTTCGTGGTTTAAATGACCCGAACAAGCATCGACCTTTTTTATTTTTGGGTTAATAGCCATATTTCTATTTTTGGTGATATTATCGAATCTCATGTTAAAGATCTTAATCTGAATCTGCTTATGTCTACTCTTTTTTCCTGGATAGAACTTTACTTTGAATCACCTTTTGGATGAAGATGAGTGTATTATTCTCATATGGAGAAACCCAGTTACTGTCCGCATCCTGCATCAATCAAGACAAAGTATTACTTGTGCAGTCACCTTGTTAAATGTAACTCGGTTCACTTTCACTTCTGTGTACGTGTCGAACTTAAGCTCATAATGAACCGATATTTAGGTGGAGCTCCTAGGTCTTCAGAAGTCTCTTTCTCTTTACGATGATCCGTGGATGATAGAAGGTGACTTTAACCAAATTCTGCAACATGTTGAGCATTTGAATCCGTACATAAATGCCTTTAATACCAATATGATGGAGTTCAAAGATTACCTTACTCAGATGGGTATGTTTGATCTACGGTTTCAGGGGCCTCTCTTCACTTGGTCAAACTATCAGCATGCTTCCTCCGTCGCCAAAAAGCTTGATCTTCTTCTTGTGAACAGTAACATCATTAATCTCTTCCCTAACAGTATAGCCACTTTCCTCCCTCCCCTCACCTCAGACCAAAGCCCTTGTCTTATTGACATAGCCCATCAGCTCCCCTCAGCTGGTACCCGCCCATTTAAATTCATCAACTACTTGACCAAACATCCAGACTTTCACAATGTGTTGCTTGAGGTTTGGATTCAGACCGGAAGCTTTGCCACCACTCTCATTTACCTGTGTTGGAAGCAAAAGAACATTAAGAGCGCGTTAAACGAGCTAAACAGTGAGAATTTTTTACAAATACAAATTAGAGTTAGTGAGGCTAAACGTTTGTTACAACTTGTGCAGATACAAGCCATTCAGATGTCTTTTCCCTCTCTTTTCCAGAAAAAACGTGTCTTTCATGACCATTGGAACTTCCTAAGGCATATCGCAGAGTGCTACTTCAGATAAGAACCGAGAATCAATTGGTTAAAAGAAGGAGATCTCAACACTACTTACTTCCTTCGGGTCTATCAAACTCGTGCAAGCTACAATGCCCTTATATCCTTCCTTTTAAGCTCGGGTGTGGTATTGATTGATCCTCTGGAGCTGAGTTTTCATGCCATTAAGCACTTCAAAGCTATCTTACGCACATATGTTCTTCCTCCTCTAGCTATTGTCTCTCTGCCTGAATGGATCAGTTTCTCTCTTCGTTTCGGTGCTCATCCTCCCAGCAACAAGTGATGATAACTACCCCTTCGGTGTCCGAGATTACTAATGTCCTTTTCAAATTGAACCCTAACAAGGCTCCAAGCCCTGATGGACTCTCCTCTGGGTTATATAAGGTGGCTTGGGACATATTGGGTATTGAAGTCACTTCCTCGATTGCTTACTTCTTTCTCTCTGCCTTCATGCCTGCATCCACAAACTCAACAGTACTTGCATTAGTTTCAAAGCGGCAAGGTGCTTCTTTTATTACTGACTACAGACCTATCTCTTGTCTTAATACCTTGTATAAGGTGATATCACGGCTCCTGGTTGCCCATCTCAAGCCCCTGCTCCCTCCTCTGATTCTACCAAACGAAACAGCATTTGTGAAGGACATATTACTTGTAGAGAATACAGATTTAGCTGGTGAAATAGTCAATGGTTACCACAAAAGAAAAGGGCCAAGAAAAATTACCATTAAACTGGACATAGCCAAGGAGTTTGATAATGTATCCTGAGAGTTTCTTTTCAACTGCCTTGAGGGTCTGATGCTGCCCCTATAATTTTTTAGGTGGCTCAAAGCTTGTATCTGCACAACAAATTTCACAGTAGGTTATAATGAGACGGTTTAAGGGTATTTTAAAGGTAAAAGAGGCTTAAGGCAAGGATACCCTCTTTCTCCTTATCTCTTTGTAATCGCTATGAACTGTCTCTGGCTAATGCTAAATAAGGCTGCAGAGAAAGAAAAGGTTACCTATCATCAAAAGTGTCTTGGCTCCAAGCTTACTCATCTCTTCTTTGCTGATGATCTTCTAATCTTCATGGAGGGCTCCTTGCATTCAGTCCAGAATGTGCTTGAACTTCTTCATGAAATTGAGATGTGGTTGGGTCTAGCTGTGAGTGTGCAGAAATCGAGTTTATTTGCTTCTTATCTCTCTCATTCTGAAACTGATCTCATATCTTTTTCCACTGGAATGCCTCTAGGTACCCTACCAGTGCTCTACCTAGGTGTTCCATTATGCACCAAAAAACTAAGTATCAGTAATTGTGAGATGTTAATCAGCCAAGTCAAATCTCGGGTTACCTATTGGAGTGTCAAATCTTTGTCTTTTGCATGGAGACTCCTGCTTATCAAAACGATCGTGGCTGGCATTACAACCTTCTGGTGCTCTTCTTTTATCCACCCTAAGGTGTGCATCAAGCGCATCAAATCTCTCTGTAGTGTGTTTCTGTGGAAAGACAATATATAAGGTCATCACTCTGCAAGGGTTTCTTGGGAGACAGTTACAAAGACAAAGAGCCAAGGAGGTTTGTGAATAAAGTACATTTACACTTGGAATTGAGCATCCTATCACTACAAGAAAACAGAGAATTTACGACTACATGTTACGACTACAAAAGTAGTCGTAAATTATAGCGACTGATTAGCGAGTTTATAGCTACATGTTAAGATATATCTTAAGTTAATTTCACTTATTTTCTTCCAAGCTTAGTATAGGCGTGAGGTGCTCCAGGGTTCTCTGAATAACTTTTGGTCAGCAAAACAGCATAAGAATTGTTTGTGGCTGGCAAACAAATTTCTGAAAGTAAGAGCTGACTCTTACCTGTGGATCAAGTTACGGGTACAGAATGGGCGAAGTTGTAGGCTCTGGCCCAACAACTGGTCCCCTTTTGGCGACATTGAAGCCTATCTTCAAGGGGCTCGGTACAGCAAATTAGGCATCTCACATTTAGCTATCTTTTCTAGTTTGCAGAGGGGCGGGATATGTAATTTTTCACCTGCACGTTTGGAAAATCAAGTCAGTCTGCAAACTTTTATGTCCACAATCACTTTATCAGAGAAGGAAGATTACTATGAATGGGAAATTGATGAGAAGGTGAGCTCCAAGTATAACACGGGCCAGTTTTATGGAAAATTATGAGATGAATCCCAACAGGTAACTTGGGATAACATGATCTGAAATGTTAGAGGCATTCCGAAACACAACTTCTCAGCTTGGTTGTTTGTCTTGATCAGGTGTCCAATGAAAAATCGTATCCTTGGATGGGGTCTCTCAACTTATCCCATTTGTCTCCTTTGCAACTCCTCTAGTGAAAGTAGAAACCACTTACTGTTTGATTGTGCCTTCAGCTGGTCAATCTGGGGAAAAGTCTCTCGACGATGTAATTTGCTACCGCAGCGTGAGTGGAGCAGCTCGTTTCTGCAGATGCAGAACCTCTCTGGGGGTAAACTGGCAAAACATCTGACTCTTCTGGGCTGGCAAGCTTCGATCTATTGGATCTGAAATGAAAAGAATGGGCGTTTGCACAGACAAATCTATCGGACCTCGGATGGGATCTTCCTTCTCATTAATCGATAATTTAGAAACAAAATTGCTAGCTACATGGACCATAATCCAACTCTCTTCAAAACTACTCCAACTTTGGTTCGCAACGGATTCTTCTTCCTGAGATTGCTTGCGACTGTAACTCGTCCCTCCCAGTCTTTGAGGCTTCGGGACTGTTCTTCTTCTATGTTTAGCGATGGGCTTTTTCTTTTGCTGGATTTGATTAAGATTTTTAATTTCTTTCTCTTGCTGATTTACTAGGCTTTGTCCGGATTACACTATAGCCCAAGAGGCTTGTAATATTTTTACATTTCTCATGCAATTAATATGAAAGCCTTTTTTATAAAAAAAATAATGTTATGAACTAAAATGAGATATTTGATAATAAATATATCATTAATTTTTATGAATATTTTTTTGTTTGTATTCTTAATGTTCATTAAAAAATAAAAAAGTGATTTTAATAATGTAAAGTTTATTTAGAAAATGTTATATCAATGAATTTAGAAAATAAGTCAAATAATATTTATAAACTTGAAACAAAAATATAATCATATTTTGCTATATTACATTATGTAAATATATTTAAATGTATAATTATTAATTTATCTAATTATATCATCATAATTTTACAAAGGAGTTCTGAAAAAAAAAATCTTTTATTATCTTATCGAAATTTACTAATTTTTTTACACTGATCCAACTCATAACGAACAAGATTTAATAATTAATAGTAATTATTAGGAAAATGGAATAATGGTCTAATAATCTGACAATTAAGTGACAAAAAAGTTTTCTCTCTCCATTACTGTTCATTCCAAAAAGACAAATATACCTCTATCCCTTATTAAAACTTTGGATTGTTGTGGTTTGAGGAGAAAAAATATAAAAGACGGTGGTGATGATGGTTGTTGGAGGATGATGATAAAAATAGTGGTGGTGGTCGTGGTGGCGGCGATGGTCGTGGCATGGTGATCGTGATAACAATGGTGAATGGTGGTGAAAGACAGTGGTGATGGTGGTGAAAAATGGTGGACATAACAAACAATAACGTTAGTAATAATGTTGATGACGGTTAAGTGGTTATCAAAATAATTTTGCATAACTTATAAAGTTAACAAAGTTAACTCATATTTTTTAATGAAATGATAACAAGATTAGCACAATAGTTATCATGCTCACAAAGTTAATACAATAACTTTTTATCTGATAATATTGGTAACATGATTCATCATATTATTCATTGGAAAGCAAATTGGGATGTGGTTGAGAGTTATGATGGTTGATTACTCTTTGCCTCTTCTATGAAAAGACTTTATTTATCCTTAATAAAATTAACAAATTAATATAATCTAATTTTTAATTGATTATCGATTTTTTAAAATCTAGATTTCCAAATTCGGGTATATTCAGTTTACTAAAAAAAGTAACTAGCATAAATCATAAAAAATGATCCTAATTATTTCTTTTTATTAATTTTAGTTTAATTTTTTAACCTACTAATATTTTTGACTAACTTAATTGATATTTGCGGCCATAAGTAAAACCCTAAATCTTTTTAACCCTTTTAAAACTCTTAATTAATGTTAAGTTGATATGAAACAAAGATCCTTTAGTTTTGGTCATTTTGGATTGCTATGCTTTTTTTTATGCAAACTTTGAATTTCATTAATCTTAATCTACCAATTTACATCAAAAGAAGAGAATTATTTATCATGTTTGATAAATGCAACAAAACAACAAAGCATACATATAAGTTTTTATCGGATAATATAAGATATCAGAAAATAAGATATAAATAATTTATTTTGCTTTGTCACAAAAACAATATACTCTTGAAAATTATATTTTTTAGATATATTAATTTTATGTTTCGAATAATTATCAAATCTAATTTTTTTTATCTATAAATAAACTAATGTTATTACTTTAAAAAAAATTAATCGAACCCCGCACTTGTGCGGAGAAACACCTAGTTTTCTATTATATGATAACTAGGTTAACTCAATATTTATATAATATACTAATTGAAAATCATATTAGTTAGCATATTAATCAATAGTTATCACGATACTATATTAGTTAGCATAATACTCGAATATTATTCACTAAAACTGCATCAAATAATTTGTAGAAATAAAGATCATAATTTTCATGTATAATATGTATCAAACTAATTTTTAATTATTCACTTTTCTTTTATTCACTCTACTCTTCTATTTTAAACATTATCTGAAGAGTTAAACTAAAATCCCCTTTAACTATTATTACTTTATCGAGATATGAATTAGTGGTATCTCTATAATATTATTTGAGAAGCCGTTATTTTAAAGTACTGTAAAAAAACAATGTATTCACAACAAATGCCATCAAATGTGCTGAATAGAAAGTGTTTGGCAACAAATTTATACGAGGATAATATTGTACAAAAGAATTGAGTCAACTCAGTCACCGAGTTGACCCGATCCGATACACCAAAAAAAAAAAAGACGCGGATCTAAATAAGTCAACTCAGTCACCGAGCATTATAATGCGTGCCTTCGTTTATGGAAATAAGTCTCTGCAATATCATTAAAAAAATGAAAAACACTTTAATTGCAGAAAAATAGGCTAACAAGATACACAAGAATATTTCCAAGATATCCAAGAATATTTCGTATAACCATTCTGCTAGCATCACGAGCAACAAGGATTTTTTTATAAACACATAGTATTATTAGCTCCGTAATAGGGGCATGAAAATATATGAAAAAGATTGAGGCTAAACCTAGATCAATGAATATATATAGACATTAAGACCTTCACACATCGTTCATACTTTTAATCATCTTTCTATGCCTCTCTTTCATAATGCGGCTGAAAATGTTCTCTTTTACTTTGATGAAAGTTCTCTGTTTTGTTGTTAATGCTAGGATTTAGACCTACACATATCGCTCATAACTTAATCATCATATTGCTTATAATCTAACACTGCTCTGTATTGTGATTACAGGTTCAGGACATAAGGAGTGAACCTGTTTCATTTAGGCGAAGAGATTTCTAAGCTCATCTCTATTTTAAGTTTTGAGGCAAATTCCAATAAACATAAAATTCTTTGCTACAAGTAAGTTTTTATGTTTTACTATGTTTTCCATTAAGTCAACTACATATATGTCTCCAGTTCAGATCAAGAACCTTATGATACTATTTTAAAAGATAATAAACTAACCTGTTTTCTGTATGCAATATTTCACTTCTGAAAACCAATTTAAACCTGAAATCTTGATGTCAGATCAAGGAAAAACGAATAAACAGCTTTCACATAAATTATATTTCAGCTTTTTAAGTTTAATGCAGTTATCTAATATTATGTTTCATTTGCGTGTAGGATTTCTTATTTGGATGTGGAGGCAACAGAAGAGTTTTAAGAAATGATGGAGCTAAGTTTCTACGATTCAAAAGTTAATTCTAGAACTCTATTACAAAACTTTAACATATATATATATATATATATATTTCCTCTTATATGTTTCATGTTTACTAATCACATTTTGTTTTGATGATATTCATTGTAGGGAAATTGTAATAGAGTCATGAATGGAAAATAAACCAAAAGCTCTTTCTTGACTTACAAAATCCCAAAGTACGAACACTTTTTAATGTACTATCAAAGGTTAGCCCCCATCTAATAATAATATATTGAAAGTCAATTGAAAAATACCTAATTAACAATGCCAATACACTGTCCGGATTGTTCACTTCAGGCTAAGCAGAATAAAGTCTTTGAAACACCAAGGTAGTTTAAATTCTTTGCTTTGATGATTTTTAGTTTTTTTTTTCAATTTCAGAAGCTTATACCAGCCTAATATAACATTTATCATGTATGAGTTGAATAATTTCTGTTATACAATTAGACTAATGGTTTTGATAAATACATTTTCAGATTAACCACAAGAAAAATAACTAGAGCTATACAACGAATGTAAGGAAAATTGTATGAGTTGTAGAGGTAGTGATTACAGTAACTTACCATTTCGTAATCTTTGGCAGATAAGTCCGCTGGACCATGGAAGTGTTTGGAGACTGGATACTGCATATTTGATAGTTCAAAACGAACCTCTGAATCGTCATAATGATGTGGCAATGATTGATTTCCGGTGGAATGAGATGGTCTCTGAAAATCTTATTGTACACTGAACACATGAAGAACATAAGAAATCAAAAGCAAGTAGACTAAAATGTATGAGAAACTTAGAGAATGAGCTGAATTTTCATAGCCTGCGATAAACGACAGCATGAACTAAAAAATTCTTAATATAGTACTCCAATAATAGCTAAGAATGAATTTGAACAACTACATGGAAGTTAAACTTTTGCGCACGTTACAGAGCAAGTGTTCTATAATACTGTTGAAATTTGAGATTTCAGTGCCGATTATGTGTGCTATATTATACAAAACGTTTTTGACACATTCAACAACCGAAAAACTTAATTTTCATTGAGATATCAATCAGCCAATCCACAACAAGCCTTGCTCAAGCATAGTCTCAAGGAGAACTATAAAAAAAAAAATTTAAGAGACAAACTCACAAAGCAGATTCAGTAATTGTAATAACCCAGAAAAACACATATATTAAAACAATATACCTTTGTATGTTTCTGAGAGGTCCAAAAATGGAATCAAATGGATCGAAGTTATTAATTGAAGACCCCTGATTAAATTTATTTAGGAACATTGCACAAAATGGGAAGAAAAAGAAAAACAGCCGACGCCGAAGAAGCAACAATCTCCTCCACTACAGATTTTACGATCACCGATAAAATTGTATTAAGCATGTGTTTATGTAAGAGTAAATCTAATATATAAATGTATATCTATATGAAATCAAAATTTGAGATTAATGGGATGATTTTGACGAAATGAAAATTTTGATAAAAAAATAATAATTATGTTGATAAACCTAACTAACTTAAATATAACAAGATTTTTGGGTTGAATCAATAATATAAAAATAAAAATAAATTAAAACATAGTAACCCGTCTTTATAGTAGGTTAAAATTTAATAATGTATGCCAAAAATAAAATTTAATGGTTTCTATATTATTAAAAAAAATATAATACATCTATACAAAAATAAACATCTATTACAAAAAATTACTTCTATAAGAAATTGAAATTTTAGATTAGAAGTAGAATGTGATTTTGACGAGATAAAAGTTTGGTAAAAAAAAAAATACATAACCTCTATTCATAAATCTGTAACTAAAATATATCAGGATTTCCGGGTTGCATAGATACATTATACAAATCATTTACATCTATCAACTATATTTGTTGAATTTTTTAAATTTCTTACATAACTTCTTATTTTCTAAACAATAACTAACAATAATTTGAATTCATATTTTACTTTATATAATCAAATTATCAGTATTTTTTTTTCAAATTTTTTATAAATCTTTCAAATTTTAAATCAAACTCTCAACTATGACAAAATATAATTTATAAATAATACAATAATTAAAATACAAAACTATAAACTTAAAACAAATATCACACACAAACGAAACCAAAATATCATTTAATTATGCGCAAACGTAAATGTATGCTTAATACGTAAGAATGTTATTTAACATATAAGATTAAGCATGTGCTTACGTAAGAATAAATCTAATATAGAAATGTATATCTATATGAAATCAAATTTGAGATTAATGGGATGATTTTAATGAAATGAAAATTTTGATAAAAAAAATAATTATGTTGATAAACCTAACTAACTTAAATATAACATGATTTTTGGATTGAATCAATAATATAAAAATTAAAAAATTAAAAAATAGTAACCCGTCTTCATAGTAGGTTAAAATTTAATAATGTATGCCAAAAATAAAATTTTAATGGTTTCTATATTATTAACAAAAATACAATATATCTATAGCAAAATAAACATCTCTTACAAAAAAATTACTTCTATAGGAAATCGAAATTTTAGATTAGATGTAGAATGTGATTTTGACGAGATAAAAGTTTGCTAAAAAAAATATATAACCTCTATTCATAAATCTGTAACTAAAATATATTAGGATTTCTGGATTGCATAGATGCATTATACAAATCATTTACATCCATCAACTATATATGTTAAATTTTTTAAATTTCTTACATAACTTCTTATTTTCTAACAATAACTAACAATAATTTGAATATCATATTTTATTTTATATAATCAAATTATCAATATTTTTTTTTCAAATTTTTTATAAATCTATCAAATTTTAAATCAAACTCTCAACTATGACAAAATATAATTGATAACTAATACAATAATTATAAATACAAAACTATTAACTTAAAACTAATATCACGCAAAAACGAAACCAAAATATCATTCACAAATAATATAACATTTTTATTCCAACAAAAAATTAAATCATATGCAACCAATATATTAATAATATAGATAAGAAAAACTAAATTTTTAAATATAATTTAAATTTAATAAATTAAAAAAAAATTACCCTGCTCGTAAAGTGAACTAAATCTTATTAATACTCATTTGACATTGCCCAATAAGAAAAACTAACCAAATGAAATCTGAAGAAATCCAAAATTCGGGATCTCCTGCGTTCGCCTTGGCTCCTTTATTTTTTTGGTTCCGAAAGAGAAAATATAATCAATGTAATGTAGCATCTCTTTTAAGTCATATACTGGTTTGCATGATAGTGATACAGACAATAACAAAGCAATGAATTGAATAAAAATCAAGGACCCTTTGTCATAAATCTAATCCCGAATCAAAGCTCTTCTTCTTCTTCTCCTCAAAAGTTTCAACTCTTAACGCCGCCTACATCTACAAATAACCCTCACATTGTTTTCGTATACCTCCTCTGGTTTTCGCCACAAGCAACAGAACTCGGTGCAACGTAAGCAGTTTTTAAGCCATCGGGAGCAAAAGAAACAAACGTGGCTTTTCTTCCAAGTAATATACAGGACAGGATAAAAAAGCTCAGGTCGTTTATTGTTGTAGTGCTGCTTGTATAAGGTTTCGCTTCTCCTCTGATCTGTGACGGAACAACTTTGCAATCTTTCTTCTCTCACAGTCCTGAAATTTCACATTAGAGGAAACAAACAAAACTTAATAATATATGAAACATAATCCACAATTCCACAAATCCAACGGTAGCGTTTTCTCCATGAAAAAACGAGTATTGGCTTTAAGACGTAAGACCCTCTGTTCCATAGGATATGGTTCTCTTACTATACAACATGGTGGATTCAACACATCTTAGATCTGGTATTATCATTTCCTACTGATTGATTGATTCATAGTTTGATGACTAATCAGCTTACAATATCAAATGTGAGACCATTTACTAACATGGGTTCCACGACTAGAAAAGCCACTGCATTTGGGGTTTGACTCGGATACTAGTTTATAGTACTTCAGTCCATATCATGTCAAGTCCACTTTCGACTTTTACAGCCCTAAACCCAGCTTTCATATGGAGGCAAACCCATCTTTAGATGAGCATCAAACAGCTTATTGTTTGGTGGAATTATAATCCAAACGGAGATATTTACCTTGAACATGTGAAGATTAAATGGTTTGTCAGGATTCATCCTTCTTAGTTTCTGGTAAGTATATGCAAAGCTAAGCTGGTCACGGGGAGTGAAGCGTTCCACTTCGTTGAACCAAAGACAGGAGAACAGGTTCGACATGGGAGTATGTGCCCGTACTATGAAAGACCCCTCTGGAACATCTGTAAAACAAGAGGATTGTAAGTTAACAAAGCGCACAAGTGTATTGAATTGGTTGATCCTTGTAAGGTGACAATAAGAAGTTTCACAGCATACAGCCCAAAAACTATTATGATGCTGTGGCCAAGGATGTAGTTGCGCATGCGAAAAATCTTAAACCTCAATCCTTAATAAATAAAAATTAAAACCCCGTGGGGATCTTATGAGGAACATGGTAGCATGTATGGTCACTAACTAATGCAAACACTCCCTAAGCAAGGTTCTAATCCTGGTTTGTATCAGTTTCAAAACAGAATCTTACTGCTAGGAAGAAGCTTGAACGGGTCTGAAGCGTTGAATCTGGTCAACCCATCAGCCTTGTAAAACTCAAACTGTTGATCAATAACAGTATGGTTGTACTTGTTCAGCTTCTTGTTTTGGGCAACCTCTTCCCATAAACAATGGCGGTCATAGTGATTGGATATAGCATACTCGTGACCTTTACGCCATAGAAAGTACTCCAGAATGAGTAGGGGATCCAACTGAAGTCGTAACTTGCTGTCCAACCAGATTGAGTACCTGGAAAAATCAACAGCAGATGAGTTTCTGTGTCTGTTGATACAGATTTTATCTGACTTGAGAAGCTTTTCAGCAGGTATTGCATATCGCATTCAGATGCATATGTCCAGAGAACCCACAATTCAACATCTGATCTGTTTTCTAACTGCAATTGCTGGAAAAAAAAAATATGTGCTAGTTGCACCCATCAAAATGAGAGTTATCTCTATGACATGAGACTGACCTTGCTGATGGAAAAAGTCGATGTGGCAACAGTTTTGGTATTTTTCCTACCCTCCTCATATCTGCGTAAGGAAGATTATTCACGACAACCAGCTTCCACAAACCAATGAATCCTGCTCTGTCTGGAGCATGGCCTTCCGCAGAAAGTGTTTGCATGGTAATCTCGTCCACGAAGACAATGAAGCAAACATTTTTTCTTGATAACCGACTTATCTAAATTAATAGTAAAAACTCAGGTTAGCACAAGTGACAAAATATCATAACCAATAAGCAAAAGGATATTACAAACACAAGAGGAAATGCGTCTTCTGAGGTTCTTGAGGAAACATGAAGTTGTTAATTCTTATTCCACTACAATGAAGCTAGATATTTTTGCGAGAGGAGCTACTCATAGGTCCTGGTAAACCCTAATAAGGCCATGAGCAGATATCTTAAAAGATGTCTGTTCATGGCTGGTAAAAACGCCCACAAAACCTGCTCATTTTCATCTTATTTCCAGCCACTAGTCTACAATAGTTGGTTAAACGTGCCACTCGAACTCTAAGATAAATCAGCTCGCAAGTCCCTGCTACTGACTATGTATGTCCCACTAAAACTCAGGCTCCATGTATACGATGTAGGCTACTCTAATGATACACAACTCACTGGTCACAGTTTCCAAATCTTAGACGTAGAAAAGAGAAGGCCAAACAACATAACCATACATCAATGATGGACAGAATCATACCATTTTATTGGCAGGAGGCCTCAAGCGATCAGAATTGCCAAATATGCATGAGACCACAGCGATGTGGCATCTACTGATATAATTAGTATCATCTTCCGTCAGGTCAAACCCAGTGCTTGGAGATCCTTTGGGGGCTTTGACAAAGCCACAATGAATTTTCTTGTCTTGAACCAAGAAGGAATCTTCTCGCTCCTCTAAACTCTGATGACCTGCAAACCTAGGCTCCCACTGTTCTTCTCCATCAGGTTTATCTTCGCTCTCTATGTACTGTAAGGAGAACCTTGCAGATTTTCGAGTATTCAAGGGCTCCACTATTGGTTGACTAGAATTCAATAGCTTCATCTCACACGATGCACCTGAAAGATTTTAAAAACAAAAAAATGATAAGCAGCAGATAACCCAGACTTCAGATCTCAACCAGCTAATTACAAGTTATCACCTGAAGATCTGCGTCCTCGGCCTCTTCTTTTTGTATCAGATCGTGATGTTTTCCCGGACTTACCACCCTTACTAACAAGAGAAGAATCCCCAAGTGACCTTTTTGAAGTAGCTCCATCATCCTTCTCCGCATTCTCCTGCTTGGTCATGGAATGAAGAACCTCCGTAGGCTTCTCTTTGTGTATCTCTTCATTTTCATCCTCATCATGCCCAGAATCAACGTATTCATCCCCTTGACTATCATGAGAATCAATTGCATCATCTTCCTCAGGGTCTATTTCAGCTGCCTCATGACCCCCAACGTTTTTCTTAGATAATTCACCACCTTTCACAAGCGAAGCTTGATACTCTGCTTCATACTTCTTCAATTCATTCCTTCCAGCTTCATTGTATAAACCAATCCCCTTCCAATCTAAACCCTTCACAGGAACCTTTCTCACTTCAGCCACTGACCTGTCCACATCAACAGATTTATGCTCAGATTCATCTTCATTATAATCATCATCCCGTCTTCTATCATCCTTATCCCAATATCTCGAGTCTCGTCCATGAACCACTGAACCATGACCAAACTCAAGCACCTTTGCAGGGTCAATTCTCGTCACATTCGTCAGAAAATCACCGTCGTAAGTATCAAATCCTGCGGAAAATGCAAGTCAACAGAAACAATCTAAGATATAGCACAAATCCGATTTCAGCAAACAAGAGAAGGAAGATCCACAGAGGTTAACTAATGAAAGCTGAATCCAACGAACCTTTATCATCGTAGCCATTGGTAAAACCAGAGATGTAATAGTAAGCTAGAACAGTGACAACGAGCACAAGGCAGAGAACAAAGACGACAGTGCCGATTCCAAGGCGACGGATCCTGTCAGGTCGTACGGATCGCCTCCACCTGTTAGCCTTCCCATGCTGAGTCGCTCCTCCTCCTCCTACAGCTCCTCCGACGCCGTTTCGGATCCCGATCGCTACGTGATCAGAAGAAGAAGACCCTGCGCCGCCGTTGTTGGCATAGTGAGGATAACCGCCGACGCGACCGCTGAATCTCTCTGTTCCCGATTGCCTATATTGAGCCATTCTAGCATTGTCGACGAGACGAGCCCTCTCTACGCCCTAAAGAGAAAGGGGACGGTTCCGTATGTATAACACAAAATGGCGGAGAGTGCTTGTTGTTGAGGAGGAGATTTGAAGTGTAAATGAAGCAAACTTTGGCTTGAGTTACTTCACGGATTGATTAACCATTGAAAGCAATCTGATTAAAATTAGGTGAGAGAGAGAGAGAGAGAGAGAGAGAGAGAGAGAGAGAGAGAGAAACAGAGGCGGATTTCAGAAGATTGCGCGTGATCGGCGACACGCTTCCGGCGAGGTACTTATACGGTGTGTGCTTAGATCTGAATACGGGACTCAGGCCGCTAGATCTGGCCCGACCCGGTCTGATTGTGGATATCGGCTATTCTGGGCTTTTGGATTTATGGATTTGGGTACATGGCGAAAACTTGAATTTCTTTTGACGTAAAAGAAGAAGAAAATACTAACTTCGAATTTTTGTATCTTTTTCGTCCAAAACGAAATAATTCATTAAAAATTAAACGAGTCAGCAAAAGTGTTTAAGGCAGTTTTTGCAAGTGAATAAGTCAGTAAATTAGATTTTCGCCATACAAATATGAAAGATATTTTTGTAAAACTAGAAAATAGATTGAGGATATTAAAAAAAAACTTTTTCAATTGAGTCTCCACCTCAATAGTTTTAATCATTTGCTATAACTCAGATATGATATAAAGTTTCTTAAATCCTAGGTTAAGAGTTTATTTGATCACAAACAGAACTATCATAGTCTCTGCTAGTTAGATAATGTGATATTGTTGGAAGCTGTCGAGTATTTTGTTTAAATACCCAACCGAAACTTCCATTTTCTAAGTTGCATTCGTTTGGTATCAGATCGTGTCAAAGTCAACTGAATGAGGTAATTGGGGAATATATGGAGTAGGGGTCGGATTAGCTTTTTTTGTGCTAATTACCATTCACAAACTGCAATAATTTCCTAGAGTAGACAATCTTTTGTTAAGATCTGTCTGTTCTCAAAAGTTTCATGTTTATGGCATTCCAAATTGTTCAGATTTGGAGCGGTCCTTGGCTTAGGCCTGTTGGTGGGAGGCATATCGAGAGCTCAGCTGCTTCCAAGCCTTTTCTGAATATTGCACTTGGTTGGGAATGAAAGGGTTGCCTAAACGGCGCATGATACCAGATTTAAGATGCAAAGGAGCAACAAAAGAAGAGGTGTGTAGCTGACTCCGGATCACCAAAGAGGGGGCATAAACCTAAGGTATCTACTGTTCTGGCTTGAAAATTCTCTCCCAAGATAATTGCATCGTTCATAATTTTCTAAAAAAATGTTTTTGTAGTTAAAGAGCATTTGAGGTCGCAGATGTGTGTTTTCCAATTGAAGCTCTGATTCTTGATAGCTGTTAGTGATCATTTAGTCCATCTTTTAGGGTTTCGTAGCATCCAAACTTTATAGTGTAATCCCTTGTTTCTGTTGGGAGCCATGCAAAATATTCTGGTGCTCCCATTGTACTTGGTTCCATAACTCCCCTTCATGAACCGAGATAAGCAAGACTTGGGAAGATAACTCATCATCAATATATCAAGATACAAGTTAAGAAATCTCCTTCATTCAGCCTTTTTGCTCATCACTCATTAAATGGGTCAAAATCCCTTTAATCTCTCTTTTTTGATATTTTTTTGATTTTTGCATGACTCTCTCTTAAGAGTTAATGTCTATGACGTGTACTGAGCCTATATAAGCTCATAGTTGTTTCATTTGTACACTCACTTTTATCTGAGAAAATATAAAATTTTTGTTCTTTTTATTCAAAGAGTGTTCTTTGTTTAAACAACTTGTCTTTAGATTCAATTGAGAGATTCCTTTGTTTCTACTGACTCTTGGAATATATTTGTTTGTGTGATTCAGACAAGGCTAGTTCCAACGGCTAAGTGAATCGGCCATCCCACAGACTGAGCAAGTCAGTCAATTCACCATCTTTCCGCTTTAACCATATTCCATCCGACTGGCTGAAAGAGAGTGACTTTAGTCCAGCTTTCAGCCTCCATCATTCCACAAACGAGCCTCAGCCTTTGAGGATCGTATCATCTGGTATCATTGTGATCATGTGGGTGCTGGTGTATTGGAAGATGTTTCCTGACTCTCCTGGATTGTAAGATGTGTCTCCTGAATGCTTAGATGTCTCTCCTGGTCGTCAAAGCCTTCTTTGTAAGTGATTAAACTCGCCAGCTCTCAAATAAGGCAAGCATAGCGTTCTCCGATTTAGAAGTTGAATAACTTTTAAACCGTAATTCATTTTGGTATGAATCCAAATTCGCCTCTGTTCCTTGATGAGTTAAGTTTTCAAAACATCCCATCTTGTGGTTTGATTCGTCGTCGTTTGGCCGGAATGATTTTATTAGTGGTCGTATGTCTCCATCGGGTCCATTGAAGATCTGCCAATTTGTATCTTCAATATCTTCTTCATGTGAACTCCTTTTTAGCTGATTCTTCTTCGTGGTGAACTCTGGATGAGTTGAGTATGCTCTCCAAGTGTTTTTTGGGTTTGAATGTTTGATATCAACCTCCATTTGAGCTGAACTCCACTCGCATATCTCCTTAGCTCTCCTCAGCTTCATGTTCTCCACTTCATGACTCCTGGATCCGTGCTCCTTGGCTGATGATGACTTGAGGTGCGTATCATTTTCCTACCAAGATTCAACCAAAGAGGCTATCTGGTGTAGTTAGGGGTGTCAAAACGGGCTAACCCGCCCCATATGATCTGCACCGCAGCGGTCATTGTTCTTTTCCGAACTGCGGCAGATTGATCCACGCGGGTCGGTTCACTCCTAATATGTCCATACCCGCCCCACCAAACAATGCGGACTGTGCGGACTAACCCGCGGGTTATTCTCCTTTCTTTTTGATGCTCCGTGTTAGTATCTTAGATTTCGATCAAACTTTCTCTTTTCTCTGCAGCTGGATATTATCTCAAGCTTGTCTCACCATGTCTCTGTTGTTGACCTACTTTGCTTGTAAAACAGCTCCGTGAAGTGAGTACTTCTCTCTCTCCCACTTCATATATAGATGCCAAAGTTCTGTTATGATTTCAGTCGGTTGCTTCTTGATGTTGGAACAGTTTGTGGCACTTCAGATAAATTTGAAGATAGAAGAGGTTGAATTGCTGGTAACAAAAAGATTACGAGGAAAAGACAACACAGAGATTGATATCGTCGGCTCCGTAACTCTGTTTTGCGATCAATAATTTTAGGGCTTTAAGTTTTGTTTTTAATTGTTTGGTTTGGTTTTGTTGGTGTAAACCATACGGTTTATTAAAATTAAGAACCAAATTTTCAATTACATTGCTCTGTATTACAAAATCAATACGATGCTCTGTTTTTTTTACAAAACTTGAAACCCGCGGTGTTAATCCGTTGATCCGCCAGCCCGTGACGGTTAAACCCGCCGAACCCAGAATCCGCGATGGACAAAACCGCAAGACCTGCTACTTAACGGTTCCTAGATATCTTGTTCGCACCCGCCCTACGACAGACCTAAACGGGCCAAACCCGTGGATTGTCGATCCGTTTGACATCCCTAGGTGTAGTTAAGATTCTCCAGCTTATTTTTAAGAGAAGGACATCGTTAAAGCATTGGATATCTCTGATTCCAAGCACTCCATCTCTTTTGAATTTTGTGAGTCACTTCCAAGATATCCAGCACATTCTCCTTCCCTTTTTTTTGTGTCCCACCTAAACCTTATTAAAACTGACTGAATTCGTTTACACAGAGATGCAGGTAGCTTGAAGTAGGATATAATATATGTTAAAACTTGTAAGCACATATTTTAGCAGAGTGAGCTTTCCCGCAGGTCAAAGGAAGCGTGATAACCAGCTAACTGCTCTTTGTTTAATGTGGTCAATGATCATAATGAACAGGTCCTTCTTCTTCATGCCAAAATGATAAAGTAGCCCGATGTACCTTCCTTGTGTATTTCCAGCTCCCTTTTGATTAGTTCTCTTTATAGTAGAGACTGACTTCTGTTGATTTATTAACTGTCCTGAGGCAGCTTCATATTTGCTAATAATAGCCATTAATTATTTGGAGCTTATAGGGTCTAATTTGCAAAAGAACATTGTATCATCAACAAACAGCAGGTGATTGATCCTTGGGCTCTTTTTTGCCACTCTAATCCCTGGTAAGGTGCCATTCTCTTGAGCGTTTTTATAGAGGCCTGATAAGACTTTACTGCACAAGATGTGAAGATATATGGAGATAGCGAGTCTCCTTGGCGAATGCCACGCTGATGGGAGACACTTTCTTGAGCCGAGCCAATCAAAAGTTAAGAATATGTCATTGTGTTAATGTATTGAATTAGCCATTGAATCCACTGTTTGTGAAATCCTAGTCTCTCTAAGACCAATTATATAAAATCCCACTCCAGCCTGTCACAAGCCTTGCTCGTGTCTGTTTTAACAGCCACGAAGCACCTCTTTTTTTTTGCCTTGGACATTTTAAGGTAATGGAGAACTGCATGTGTGAACAGCATATTTTCCGTTATAGCTCATTCGGAAATGAAAGACGACTGATTTTCAGATATAATATGTTGGAGTAGAGGTTACAGCCTGAGAGTTAGTAACTTAGAAATAATTTTATAGTAGACTGACACTACATAAGGCTATTGGTCGGTAGTCTGACATTCTTTCGGGGCTTTGAATCTTCGGGATGAGCCTCACTAGTGTAATGTTTATATTTATTGGTAGGATGCCCGATGAGAAGAAATCATTGAGCTTGTGGATAATCTGGTGGCCCATAGTTTCTCATTTTTTCTGAAAAAATTGACTGCAAAGCCATCCAGACCAAGAGCCTAGTCAACATGAATCATGAAGTATGCCTTATTTATCTCCTCTACCGATGGTATTGAGATGAGAGCTGCATTCATCTCCGGTGTTATCGGAGGCTTACTAGCGTTCTTCACTACAGTAAGTCTATCTCATTCCTTAGATTGGAATATTTTGTGAAAGTAGATAGTAATGACGTGTTATGATCTTTTTTTCCTTGTAAAAAGCTTGACCATTGTCGTTTGTAAGTACTGAGAACTTGTTAACTGCTTTTCTATCACGGGTTGACGCATGGCACTCGGAGCTAACCAATATTATCAGCTCCGCTTCCAGAATGCCTCTTCAACTTGATAGGCCATAAGCAGGTCCTTGGTTATAGCAGAGATCAAGGTATTTTCTGGAACCTATCCACCATAGCTTCCTCTAGCTTCCTTCTTAGCTCTTCAATAAGCTGTTGACTAGTTTCTCCCAGTTGTGGAATCCCCCAGACAGCGAACAATCTTTAAGGAAGCAGATATGGTGGGTTGTGAAATCCACCTTGTACATGGAACTTGCAGGAACAATTTTTGTTCTTAGAGGCACTCTGCTTGAAGACGGGAG